ATTACTTAACAACTAGAATTTAGTTCTCTTTTAATTTTTAGCCTCACAAATTAACAGTTATTTTGTTTAAATGTCATTGTTTAGTTTTAGCTAGATACTTACCATTTTTTTTTAACCTGCTATTATATGCACTATCACAGACCTATGGGATGGCTTTTTTCCTTGTTTTCTTCTTGAACTGTGTCGTGTAGAAGTATCTTCAGTAAGGGTCAGTTGGCAGAAGACTTGAACTGACAGTGTATTCATTTTCCTCTGGCCATTTTGAAGTTAACACCTCCTTGTCTTCTGGTTGTCACTGTTGCTATTGAAAAATCCATTTGTCTAGTTGTCTTTCTTCTGTGTTTCTAAAAACTTTTCTTTTGGTTCTGCTGTTTTATTGTGAGTTGTATGAATGTAGTTAGTTTTTATTTATTTTGCTGGGTTTTGTTTGGTCTCCTAAATTTGAAAGTCAGGGTCTTTCAACATTCTGAAAAAAACAAGCAAAACCCTGTATTATTGTATTTTCAAGTGCTCTGTTCCATTTTTTTCTTTATAAACTAATTAAAACTCTAAAATTTATTGAATCTTCTATTAGCTTTTGTTGATTTGTCATTCTCTTTTTTGTATTTGCTACCTCTTTGATCTCATTGCTGCATCCTGCTTCTTTTGTCTTCCTAATTTATTTTTAGGTCTCCTTTCTTGAGATCATGGCCATTACACAGTGACCCATATCACCTTTATGGGTCCTCCACTTCTCTAAAGAAGTGTAAAGGAAATTCCACCCATGGGATCACCTTCCAAAATGGGGGTCTTTTCTGGATCCATGAGAAGATTCTGGGAAATGATGGGTTTTCTAAGCCTGTCACATCTTCCTGGGGGTTTCTATGTCTTTAAAACCCTCCTGTGGATGGTGTGTGTTCTCAGAAGCTCTAAAATTCAATAAAGCAAAGAGATTGATATGTGAAAAATCTCAGGATTTTGTGTGTGGTGCCTTCTGGTTCTGCATGTGTGCAAGTTATTGATATTTTTCTGTTTAAACCATTTCTTATGCTAGAAGCAGTAGCACTATAAGGAATGCAACTCTGTTATTTCACAGAAGGTGCTGGTGACATGACTGACTTCTGCTTGAGAAACACAAGTGTTAATATTCAAACCTGGCAGTAAAAAGCTTTTCAGTTTATTTTCACATGTTTTAATGTGTAATTTTATATGTATATACTCTTAATGCTTTTTTCTTCACAGTTTCTTCTTTTTAAACAAACCTTTTATTTTACCTTTAATGGTGTGTTTATATATCCTTCTGGTAAGGTCACAAAACTGTTTAAAACTATGAAAATCATTGCTATTTAGAAAATACCCTTTAACCACATTTGGGGTTAAGTATTGAGGTATAGTATGTCAATGGAACATTAACTTTTTATTTGAGACATATTCCAGAATTTCATTCTAATAGTAGTAATAGAAATGTTTTTCATTAAGATGCAAATGAAAACCTTTCTTCCATTTTTCATCTCTGGTTAATCAATGCAATGATTTAATCATTAGACTATACGAGAAATTAGCTGTATTGTTAAAAAGAAAAATGATTCCATGTGAAGTTTGGAAAGAGGAGGGGAATTGAGGGAGTTGATGGTTGTTTCTAAAAATAAATTTGAAAATTGAGGCTTACCAGAGGGGGAAGGGAAAGAGGAAGAGCAAAGACAGGGGGCCCCCACTGGACTCTGGTGGAGATGTGTGGGTGCCTTGGTGGTGAGTGTGCTGTGGTGATGTTTATGTGAAAAGGTGTGAACATAAACCTCTGAATCATATGTAGAGTTATAAACCAATGTTAAAAAAAAACAAACAAACTCCAACTGAAAAAATATTAAAATAAGCTTGAAGGGTAATAATGTATAAATTATCAGGAATAAACTTGGTACCAGTTCAATTTTGGGATTTGAGAAAATATGTGTGGAAAAGGTGTTTAAAAAGTTGTTTGGAATAAATTCACACAGATTGTTAAAAAATTTGAAAGTTTGACACTGGGGGTTAATAAATGACTTCCATCTTCAACTAGGTGTTTAGGGCATGTCACTGCACATCTCTTGTCATGGAGAGACCAGGAGCTTGAAGAAGCTGGTGCAGCATCTTTGGTGGTAGAAAGAGGAAAGAGGTAGAAAAAAAAGATTTTGAGGAGTAGAGGAAGATGTTTAAGGTTTTTGAGACTTTGAAGTTGAAACATCAAGGCAGAATGAAATTGGGATTTGACTACATAGTATTAGTATATAGAAAACTAACCCCCCCCCCAAAATCAGTAGCTCTTAAAGGAAGGACTGCTCTTGACTCTGCAAAAAGGAGACTAAAAAGCAATTTCTATTTATGTTAGTTATGAAGAAAGATAATCAGAGGTTATAAAGTCAAAGAAGTTGTAATAGATTAATTGGATAAAATCAGAAAATATCTTAGTAAGGAAAATCCTTAAGAATGTTTGTCTGCAACTCGTTTTACTTATCAGCTTTCACTTTTGACACCCTGCATGATAGAGAATGTGCTAATGCAGGCAGCTGGTCAACAAAAGGGCAGTATAAAAATTAAGTTGACAAATGTAAATAATGTTGCCATAAAAAGACAGTGTGTTCTAACCAAACACAGTTTGTGGAAAAGTATGCAATCTGTTCATTAAAAACTGATTTTTGTCTTCATCGGTATTTTTGTAGTCATGAATATGCCATGGAATATCTTGAGTGCAACATTTCAAATAAAGGTCCTAACTAATTTATAACAAAGGAGCTAAGAATATGCAATGGAGAGAAGGTAGATTGGCATTGGGAGAACTAGACAGCCACATGCAAGAGAATGAAACTAGACTACCATCTCACACCATACACAAAAATAAATTCAAAACAGATAAACGCATGAATGTAAGACGTGGAACTATAGAATACATAGAAAAAATATAGCCTGTAACTCCTTGCTAAGAGCTTAGTGATGTCTTTGTACATTGGATTCAAATGTTAAAGGAAGCAAAAACAAAAGTAAGCAAATGGGACTTCCTTCTACCCTTAAAAAAATTAAAAACCATAAAAATATGTCCTGCATCATGCTTTATTATCCCCTAGATGTTGCACATACATTTTAAAAGTATGATATTATTCTTGAGGATGACTGTATACTGAAAGAAAACCAAAAAGAAAATAGGATCATGGGATTCTAAAATAACATACTTGAGAGATGATGCAAATCAGTTCTCAAGGTTATTGTCGCATTCTAACATAACGATAGAAGAAAGGTTAGTCTGTCATCTTAAGAAATAAATGGCAGGAAATCCAAATTAAAATATAATTTACAAGTTTGATTGTATCTAAAAGTGCAATATAAGAGAGAATGAAACCTACTCTAAAGGAGAGATTTTTGATTTGCTTAAAATATCTAAAACAACCATTTTGTGCCATTTTAATACTGAGTATTTTTGCAGTACAAACAGAACTTTCTTCCATAGCTCACATTTATATTGATATGATCCTCTAAATATTCTGAGATTTTTATACAAGAGTTTTTTTAACTTAGGTTGCCAACTGATGGTTAAATACTTATTTGACACTTAAAAAGCAAGGCTAAAATATGCATTTTCCATGGAGCATCATGAGCACACTATATATCAACAGCTAAGATACCTTGTGTTACTGATTTCTTATAGTTCTGAGGGACTAGACAATACCAATAGTCCATGGACAAGGCATGAACATATACATTTGTAGAGCTTGAACCTATAACCCCTGGAGTAGAAACAAAGATGTAAACAACAGCGACAACATCAGAAGTAAAATTCATTATCATTTTCCTTTTTTATCATGATTACCTCAGATTTCTTTTATCTGATACTATATTTTCAAAAACCATTGTGTGCAAAAAATTGCTTTAGCAGATTATGAAATGGAAGCACAATGTATCAATGCCTGTAGTATCAGCGAACCTTTGGATCATGCCAAATAACCAGAGGCAATGGTTACCAGTTATTCTGAAGTCTTTAGTAGAGTTTTATCTTCCAAAATTGTTTTTTTTTTCTGCTAATAGATATTGAAGGATTTTATAAGTAAAATCCGTATTAAACGCTTTGTTGTAATTGTTGAGATGTGGTTAAAGCTGATGATTACATTGTACCAGGTTTCTCTTTAAGGAGTCATGGGAGAAATTTTTCACAGAAAATATTTGCTTCTCTTTCTTCATTACTTCATGTATTAGTTTGCCAGGGCTGCCATAACAAAATGCCACTGAAAATTATTTTCCTATATTTCTGGAGGCTGAACATTCAAGATCAAGATGTGGCCAGAGCTGGTTTCTTCTGAGGCCTCTTTCCTAGGCTTTCAGCAAACTGTTTCTTGCTTTGTCCTCGCATGACCCTTTCTCTGTACATGAAAGCTCCTGGAAGATCTTCCTTTTCTTATGAGGACATGGTTCTATTGGATTAGGGCCTCACTCATATGACCTTGTTTAATCTTTCTGAAAAGCATTATCTTAAAATATAATCACTCTGGGGATTAGGGATTCACCATATGAATTTTTGGGGAATACAATTCAGTCTGTAATATTTTGATAAAGGAATTTGAGATCCAAATCTGTATAACACGTCAAGCAGTATCAGAAAATATTTGATATAATTTTTCTACCCATGTATTTCCTTTAAGCTGGTTTTATTACTTGTTTGCATTTTTATTTGTATATTTTTATAAATTTAAATCTTTTTTAATAAGACAAGACAAATGAATAAATGAATAAGTAAATCCTCATGTGTAATACATTTACATGAACATTTTTCTACTGAAATGTAGAGTAAGAATTGTGTTCCTGGGTGCCCAACGATACAGTAGGAAGTTCGGCAGTCATATTCCTCTGAGTATGCTTATAAAGTTACATCTGTGTTTAGGTTGATGATATATAACAGGACTCTCCCCTCCGTTTGATAATATAATAGAACATCAATGGAATTAAAATTTTGCAGATCAAGTTATTTTCTTACTCATGTCAACTCTTTCTTATTCTAGAAAAGCTTTCTGAAAAGAGACCTGCAGCCTGACAAGCCAATACTGAAGCCACGACCCAGGTATATTTTTTATATAATAGCAGAAAGTATAATTTAATATGCTTGTTTTTTTGGTCTTATCAATGCAAATGCCCACTTAAGTATCTAAGATTAAAAAGTGTAGGTTTTTGAAAGCTCACATTTTTAACCTTTCTTTTTCAGTGCGGTCATTTAACTCAACTCAGGCAGGGAGAAAAAAATAATTCAAATTTATTAGTGATCATTAAGTAGACCAGACTGAAGTTTACCTTCTAGTAGATTGGAGCAAGCAGTGTAAACAATACTGCATGATGTTCCAGCTGTTTTGTTTGTTAGAAATAGGTGTTACAATTTGCTATTGTAAAGCATGATTTCAATGTCTCTGTGGAATTCTTAGATTTCTTTGTGATTTTATGTACCAAATTTGTTGATGAGCTTTTGTGAAAAATTGATTTTGTGTAAGAGAGTGTGATGGAAAGAAGGGATTGTGGAAAGTTAAAAGTGAAGGATCTGAAAAGAACAAATAATCACACTTGGTGTTTTCCTGTTCACTGGTCTATATTTGCTAATTAAGTCACCAAGTATTATTTTATTACTGATTAGATGCACACTATTAGGCCAGGCAATATAGATGCAAATAACTAATAAGGGTAAATCTTGAAGTCAGGAAGTTTTTCAGAAGAATCCAATTTTGAATCTACCCCCCTGCTCCCAGTAAACAGACGATTATTGCCTTCACTTGCCTGACATCCTTTTTTATCAGCCCCCCCCCCAATTACTTAAAATTTGTGGCTATAGTGGGCACATAATCTCTCAACCACAATTCCAAAATTCAGAGATATCCAGAACTGACAGTTGTTGGTAAAGTGTACCATACATAGGTGGTGCTAAACCTCTTAGTGTCAAAACCTTATCTGAGCTGTCAGTTAATGATTATTTATAGTCTTTAATTTTCCTGTTTCATGTTTTGCATACATATTAATGTTAACTATATTAACTAATTAATAGCAACAATTTGATCACAGGATGCTCTTCAGATCCTATTTGAGTATTTAACAACATATAGTAGAACTTGCTATATTAATTTTCTAAAAATTTGAAAAAGAAGTTGAATTCCAAAATACATCTTATTCTAAGGTTGAACTATTATGGATTTACACTATTTATGATGACTCTAGGCCACATACAACTATGAAAATGATCCAATACATTTATTTAATATCCAAGATGTAAACATCCAATTTAAAATTTGATATATGAGAACTAATCTCCTAATAAATTTAGCAATCTCCCTTATTCTGTATTTATTATGTACTTAACTTCGTATTAGTTATGTTAATTTAACTCCTATAGCGACACCATGATGTATTTTTTTAAAGATTTATTTATTTATGCATACAAGAGCTGGGGTATGGGCCAGAGATGCGGTGGTGGTAGGGGGCGAGAGGATCCATCAGAGACAGAGCGGGGAACAGATCACAGGCAGACTGACTGAAATACATTGCTGAGGGGAGCAGCGGGCGAGACAGGAGAGGTCTGCTTCACCATGTGGGTTGCTCCATGGCCGGCCAGGGTCCGAACTCATGCTGCAGAGGCTGCGGATTGCTTCATAGTGTGGAGCTTACCCCCTCGCGCCACCAGGGAGGCCCACAATGATGTATTTTTATCATCACCATTTGGCTGACGAAACAACCCAAGTTGAATACTTCCCTTTGGATCACCCTGCTAGTTGGTTATGGAACTGGACTCAAACCTATTCCATTCATTTCAGAGCATTGCTATGTACTTTTCGTTATATTGTGCCAGAACAATCTCTGACTAAAATTTCCAGCTCTATGAAAGTAGGGGTTATTGATTCTGTTTAGATTTCTGTTTAAAGCTCTTGGCACAATTCCTGGAATACATATTCCAGAAAATATAATTTATTTATTTATTTTTTTTCCAAAGTCAATCTCCTTATTTATTTATTTATTTTAAAGATTTATTTTTATTTATTTATACAAGCACTGGGTACAGTCAGAAGCGCGGGAGGGTGAGAGAATCCACCAGAGCCAGAGCGGGGAACAGAACAGGCAGAAGGACGGAAGTACACTGCTGAGGGGAGCAGCGGGTGGCAGGAGAGGTCTGCGCGCCACGTGGGACCCTCCTCTGGTGGCCGGGGAGCAGCCGGGGATTGAACCGGCGCTGCAGAGGCTGCGGGCAGCTTCACAACCCAGCGCTCAACCGCTGCGCCACCGGGGAGGCCCCAGAAAATATAATTTAAATGAAAAATTTCCAGAGCAAAAGAAAAAAGCAGATTTCTGTCTTGTCCTGTTGAGAACTATTCTTTTTTAGTTTATTCATTTAACAACAGGCATTCAGCCCCTGCTATTTTAGTGGTAAGGACAGTCTGTAGCTGTATAGATGCTGTATAGATGTATAGATGCTGCACATTTAGGAAATTTAAAGCCTAAATACCTTTTTTAGTACTATTGTACCTTTACATCCTTACTTAGTCTGGGTTTTAGACTCTAGGTAAAATAGAAGTGTCACATCTTGCTCACGTTAATGTGCAAAATAAGTTGGAGAAAGTTAATTAAGTTTAAACTACTTGTAGGAATTCCATTCCTGATAATTGTGGAGTAGCTTGTCTCTGGCTAAGTTTACCACAGATAATAATAATAAACTGGAAAAATAGAAAATTAATACTTGAAGGCACTGAACAGTGATGGCATGCAAACAGAAACTGGAGGGAATTTGTTTACTTCTTGAAAGAAACTGCAATTGGGGGAGAGCCCTACTACCCAGTTTTCCCCAGGTTATCATTCCCCAGTGAGACAGTTGGCTGTCAGGCAGGTAGCTGAGTGTGGTTGCTGTGGGATGTCAGAAGCAGAGGTGGGGCTGCCAAAATGACCAGACAGTGACTAGGGCAGCTCACAGAAAAGAGAGCCACAAAGGGAGGAAATGGAAGCCTACATATAAATTCTCAAATCCTTGGCTCACCCTAGAACTGGGCACGCGTAAGGCAGACTTCAAGCTTAAAGTGACAACTTAAGTCTGATAGAAGTGAGCAGAGTTTTTGTGCTATTTACCGAGGATAGAGACAAAAATTGGAGTTTAAAATTTCTACCATGTGATAAGGCCTTAGTAAACACCAGACTTTTCATGGAAATCTTAGAAAGCCAACACCAAAGGAGTCAAGACTGTGTTCCAGGACTAAGGGATTCAGCTTAGACCTAACAGCAAAACAAACCAATTCATCTCTTCAAAGCATGAAAACAAGCCTCAGTACATTCAAGGTGTTAAACCAGTATTTTAGTCACCATCTAGAATTAAAAAGAAATTAATTTCCTTCAAGGATAATAACAGAAGCCAGAGTCTTTACGATGCAGTGTTTAGCACACAATAAATAAGATAATAGGCATGTTGGAAATAGGAAAACCTGCCTTGAATCAAAGAAAAAGATATTGCACATTGTAGAATTAGCTGAGAAGGGTTTTATGGACCAGTACTATGAATGCTCAAGAACTTAAAGAAAAAAAGATGTTCATAATAACAGAGAATGTTAAGACAGAAGTAGTAATTACAAAATTTAAATAAAAATTCAGTCAGTGATAATACAATACATGAAATGAAAATGTCATTGGATGGGTTGAATGACAGATTAGAGAAGGTACTAGAAAAAGAGTCATTAAACTTGTAGAACTTAATCTGAAAAAAAGAAAAAGAAAATAATAATTGAGGAAAAAAAACAGAGCCCAAGTTTCCTTATGTTAATATTGAATGGCCTGCCATACTAAGTTGCAGTCTCAGAAAGAGAAGAAAACAGTATAAAACAGAAAAGTAGTTGAAGAAATAATTGATGAATTTTTCCCAAATTTAATGAAAAATATCTTTACATCTCCAGGAAGAGCATCACATAGTATGCAATATAAATACAAATAAAACCACATGGACGTGCATGATGGTCAAATTCAAATAAGAAAATTTAAACTTAAACCTAACTATCAATATTTGCTTAAATGTATAGGGTTAACATTACCGTTAAAGTGAGAGTTGAGAATCAAAAGCAAAGATAAGACCTAGGAAATAAACAAAGGGGAAAACTATACATTGTCCAGAGGGTTACAGTTCTAAGAATGGTGACTGTCTCCTCAAAAATAATGGAATTGAGAAGCAATGAAATTATATACCTAAAGCACTGTGAGGGAAAAAATTATCAATTACTAATATTATATCTAGTGAAACCATCCCGCAACATTGAAGATGAAAAAAAAAAGACATTTTCAGCTAAATTAAAGAAACAAGCTTTTATTACCAGCTCATCTGTACTTCAGAAATGTTAAAGGGAACTCTTCATGCTGAAAGAAAATGACACCTGATGGGAAATTCAAATTTATATGAAGAATTAAAAAGCAATGAAAATGGAAATATATGTTGATCAATATTAAGGGCAAAATGATAAAATTATGTTACTGATAAGCTAGAAAGATGCAAATATATATGACAATAGCAAAAAAGTTGGAGTTATACTGTCATAAAATTATTTTATGTGTAGTGTTATTAAATCTTTGTATGATGGGAATTTCCAGACCTACCACCAATACAAAAGAGGTAAACCCAGGCCTCCCTGGTGGCGTAAGGGGTGAAGACACAACCTATGAAGCTATCCGCAGCCACTGCAGCACCAGTTCGATCTCGGACCAGGGAGGTATCTACATGGTGCAGCAGACCTCTCCTAACTTGCCCACTGCTCCCCTGAGCAGTGTATTTCAGTCAATTTGCCTATTCTGCTCCCCACTTTGTCCTTGATGAATCCTCTTACCCCCCACACCTCTGGCCTGTACCCCAGTTCTTGTATGCATAAATAAATAAATCTTTAAAAAAACAAAACAAAAGAGGTAAACCCTAAGGTAATAGAAAAATTAAAATGGAACACCAATTTAAGCAGAAAACAGGAAAGGGGAATTATATGGAGTGAATAATTAAAAAAAAAAGAAAAATGGGGTACTTTAACCTAACTGTACCAATATTTTAAAAAAATGATAATTAAAAACAAGCAG